GGCTTCAAAAATTAACAAATTAGCGATCTGTAAGAAAACAATTTACAGATTGTAGGGAGTTGTGCGAGTTATTTGCGATCTCACATTTTGTAATTGCTAATTCGTGGTTTTCACGGACGAATTTCTCACTTACACGGATGGCGCACTCGACGTTTATCGAATTTAACGCCTTTAAATGGTAATTTCTTACTTCAAAATTTCTTAAGGGTATCAACATATTAAACCCGTGTAACAAAAGGTTAAGTTAGATTCCGACCCATATTTCGTTTAAAAATATTGCATACAGCGCCATTTTCCCCCTGGTGGTGAGGTTTGGAACTTTCCTTTTTTCGCGGAAATAAATTCCTATGATCTCTTTTACACGATTACCAGGTTTGATAACATTTGATCCAGTAGTTTTTTTTATGACCGTTTCAATGTGGAACTTTAAAATTATAAACACCCTGTATTATTAAATTTTAATTGAAGCTATGCGTTATATGTATACCATGCGTAAGATTTCCGCTTTTATAGAAAAATAAGAATCGAAGCAAATATACTTAGGATAATGGAACAAAACTGAAAAAATTCCCCTCCCTCCGAAATAAAATATTGAACTTCGACCTTCAATTTATTGGATTATCAAATATTCAATATGACCTATCTTCTAAGTCCTAGTTCCGACAACAATTCCGTTAAAATTCCGAATTACTTAAGCTGATGTAAAAGATTTAGTATATATTCAACTGTATGTTATAAAGTAATCAGAGTGTAATAAAAATAGATTATAGAATTTACGCTTTACTTTTTGTCTGACTGCACAACAGGTAATGGAAGAGAAGGCTTGTAGAGATCTGTTTTTGATATGCCTCTAAAAGTAATTTCATACTCCTTTTGTCTCTTCAATATCAAAAACTCCTTTGAGAGGGCAACTTTAGTTTTTGGGAAAGAAAAAAATCACAAGAAGACAAATTTTGAAAAACATGCAGGACGATTGAGTACACACACTTATTTTCGAAACACAAGCGGTTCTCCGACGGTTATTGAATAATGAAAAGATGCATTATCATGCAATACAAAACATTTGGAATACGTTTCTGACTGAAAACATAAGATAAAAGTCATCTGCTTATTCACAACCATTTACAAGTCAACTAATGGGGCAATTGCAGAATCGTTTTGATCCTGAGCTTCTAAGACAAACCTTATATCACTGGATTTAAACACTTCTTTAATCTCCGAGAACGTTCCATCTTTAGCTCATATTCAAGAATATTAAGTGAATACATTATGCAAAGAAATGAATATTCATTTGCACTACGGCTTGGTAGTTCTGCTTTTTATGTCTAAGTATACAACAATATTTTAAATATTACAAATAAAATATTAATTGGAGATTTAATGGAGCCTCACCAGTTGCCTAGCATTGAAGATTGTTAAATACTAACTGTTTGTTGCGAAGTCTAACCCAGGGTTTTTGCATGGTTGGTTTTCGTAGTTTTCTAGGTTCTCTTTGCAAAGTTCTCTATGAAAGCATCTTAACCAAATAGCTCCCACATTCTTCTATGTTCAAATAACCAACTAACCTTTAAGCGCGATTTCCAAATGAAGTTACTAGCAAAACCCGAATACTCATAAAATCATGTAGCTTGCCAATCAGGAGTAACATGAAAGATAGGCGCCATAATTGAATTGCTGTTTACGGTACGCTGTTTTTTAAATTTAGATGGTCATTCCTTAATTAAATAGCCCACTAGCGGCCGAGCGGTAAAAGACGCTGAGCACTGGTAATTCGGTCGGAAGTTCGAATCCCCTAACGGGCTGGCTGCATGGGCGTTTTTCTGGTTTTCCCCCAGTGTAACGTGTATACGAGCGTTTACCTTAGAAGTCCTCCACGAAGGCATCCCTCCCTTTTAGGCGAATAGCCTCGTGTGGCTTTGCCATAATTAATAATCCAATCCAATCCTTATTAATATAATTGATTTGTAACTTCTACTAGAGCTGACGGTTAAAATTGAAGTGCAAATAAATAATACGTGTGCAATCTTGATTATATAAATTAAAAATTTTGCATAGAAAATATTTGCATTCAGACAGAAAGTTTTTTTGAAATATTGCAATTACTTTATAAGGATGATTTTAATAACCGTAATATTACTTATTATATACTGATGATTAGGATTCAGTTCTTGACAATTACATTTCTAATTAGAATTTTAAGATATAATGAAAATAAGCTACGCACAAAAATACATTTTAACAGATTAAATTGACATAAATACAAAATACAGAATGTTGGGTGTCGTTTATATAATTATTCTTGCTGTCACAGAATCTGCTGACTTTCCAGCCATGAGTAGCTGCAGATCATTTCTAACATAACCATTGAACTTCTTAATTCAGTCTCTAGGGTGTAGTTTATATCATAATTTGACTTTTATAAAATATTATTCAAATCTTATATTTCTATAAAATATACTATGCTTAAAAATATGGATATAGTATCTGCCGCTCTTTCAGCCACTTCAAAAGCAACAGTTTGTTTAGAAATAAATATGCATTAATGTCCTAAATATTTCATTAATTCAAATAAACATTAAACGAAATTCTCAGTTTTAGACAATCGATTTAACGAAGTAAGGTAGCAGACGATAAAACGCGAGGTAAAAATTACTCTTAGAAACGTACTCTTATTTTTTTTTAAAAAAAGGATGAAAGAGAGAATTTAAAAAAATTGTTAAAAATTTGAATATTTCATCTATAATTTAAAAAATAGATTTTCATATAGTATTAATAAATATTTATACATCTTATTGAGGGGAAAAATTTCATATAATTAATTCTCCGTAAAAATTTACTTGATATTTAAGGCTAAAAATAGCTGTGGCAATTCAGTGTAACAAAATTCATACACCACATTTGGCGTTATTATCGCCCGCCCTCCCCCCAAAAAAAGACGCCAAATTTGAAAACGCGAAAATATGTAAATTCGTGTATATCTTAGGAAATTTTGAATAAAAACTCTACTTTTTTGCAGGTATGCTTAGAAATATATCTACTTTAAGATGATGGTAAACAATTTGTAGGTTATTATTCAAAATTTTTTTCGAAAAATTTATAAAAATTATTTAAAAATAGAATTTTAAAAAATAAAACACAAAAATGGGTAAATTTTATTTGGAATGAACCTAATTTCGAAATGTGAGAGAAAAAATAAAGTTTTAAAAAAAAGAGATATTAATAAATATTTGCCGAATTCATTAACATTGAGAGCTAAAATTTGAGAGCGAATATTTAAAAACTCTCGTACGATTTTTTTCAAACTTTGGTATTCTGCATAATTGAGCCGTAGAATCGAAATATGAAAAAAATTGGTATGTTTTTTCAGAAAAACCGATTTTGTGTCAAAATACCTATGTTAGAATAGTGCTATATATAAATCTAATATATATCCTAAGTCGCGCGCTTTCGAGACATGAAAAACGCTTTGAATTTTTTCAATGGCCCAGTAAACGGGAGTATAGCACTGTCCTTTTTTTTTTTTTTTTTTTTTTTTTTTTTTTTTTTTTTTTTTTTTTGAGCAGTGTACTTAGACATGCATGGATTAATCTTTATAATACCATAAATTCAGCTCGGAAGAAATTTGGCCAGAATGCATTCTAAGCAGAGACTTTGTGAGCTCTTTTTCTGTTATTGGCAATGATTTTATGTCTTTATGCAAAAACATGGGCTTGGTAGTTGACAGTGAAAATGTTAAAAAATTGCTAGATCCACAAAACTGAAATCAGCACTAAAGAACTGGAACAACTTCAGAGGCAGCAAAAAAGACAACTGTGGAAGAAATGTCTTCGAAGAAGGGAGGGTGGTCTTATTTATTTGATTTGTGAAATTATTGCAAGATGCATTGGGGTGCAAATTTTCACAGAACATTATATATTGATAAAGCATTTATAAAGTCTGGTAATCTACTTAGCTGTCATGAACTGGAACAAAACTCAAATAGGCTGGCAGCAAATTATTGCCAAGTTTAAATGTTAATGACAGAGTCTTAAGACGGTTTTAAAACAAACCTTTTTATTAAATCAGGATTGGAACATAAATGCACAGCTTGTGCTTACAATTCAGCGAACCACTCGTGGCAAGATAACTTAGAATAAGAGTCAAATGTAAAATTTAAGTTTAAATAAGCTAGTAGCCAAAGGATATACAGATCAGTTAATACTCACAAATCTTACTTGAGCAGCAACATGGTTTCAAGTGTCAGAACATGCTGTATCTTACAGTCTAATAATCTCAGCTTAAATACATGTGAGCTAATTTGCATTCTGGTGAGAAAATTGAAGGGAGAGGTTACAGTAAAGATCCAAAACATAAAATAGATGGTTAAATTGGTGTAATTAGAACATTACACACTAGTAAGCCATAGCAAAAATATTTGCTGTGACAAAGCTATATCAAGCTTTAGGAACATTTTGAAACGTAGACAGAAACAAATCACATTAGACAAATTTTTAATGAGATAAAGGCCTGGAAAGTGTTCAGCAGAGTAGAGCAGTGATAAGAGGAAAATAAAAAAACAGAAAATAGTAGCTACCTTATGTTTTTATGAAAAATAATTACTCTTTCAAACAATAACATTTTGCACCTTTCAATTTTTACTGTTTTCTATCTGCACCATCGAATTTCTTCCATACAGTTTTTTCAAAGCCACTGCTATTATTTCAGCTGTTTTTAATGAACAAATTTGTTGCTGCAGATTGGCTCCAAAAAATGTATGATGTAAATATTGTGCTAACTAATTAATCACTCACCTATAAAATGGGAAGGAGTGTCCTTCACTCAGTCACTCCGATTAATTATTGTGCATATAAAATCCAAGTTGAATGGAATTTTCCTGTATCATGTTCAATATTTGTTGTGTGTTTATTATTACTGATGGTTGTATTAAAAGGCTGCGTATTGTTAATTTTATTTGATTTATTTCTTAATTATGTAAATCATATTTGCTTTCTTATTTTTAGAGTTGATATGAACTTAGCTCAACGAATAGAATACCTTTCAAGAGCAATTATGTGTGTTAAAGGTTCAGAAATGAGAATTTCCACAAGTGGTGAGGGAGAATTCTTGCATGAACTAGAAGAAAAAATGGAGGTAATTTTGTATTGGTTCATTTTGCATATTAACAGTATGCTTAATGTTTTTGTGAGAAAAATATTGATCCATATAAAAATTTGCATTTGATACTTTCGATTAATGAAATTTTATTTTTCTATTGTAGGTTGCTCGTATTCAGCTTCAGATACTGGAAACACTGCAACAGAAAAAGTTAACATTGCAACAGAAAAGGATAGCAGGTGTCCAAGGCAGTAATATTGATGATGCTATAAATAGGCTTAATTCTAATTTCCAAGATATCCAGCAGGTATTATTTAATTTATTAGGAAAGCTATTTCCCTTCTTCATCATAAAAATTAGAACTATTTCGTATTGATTTATTGCATACAAAAAATACAGTAATAATATTTTTCAGTTCTAATAAAATGTTGCGTTATTTTAGAGATTTAATGAAAAGTTTCCAAGTACTGTCGGTATAAAAGCTGTAAAAATATGCTCCAAAGTAGGAAAATTTAATTGCACACCTGTTTTAGAGAAGTATCAATATTTATTGCTATATAAGTGCATTAAAAGATTTTGTCTCTTAAAATAATTGTATGAAGTCTTGTAAAAGTATGATCGAGAGAGAATTAGTTATGTATTATGTTTATCATACTTTTCTAATGTTAAAATAATTTTCTGTGTATTTGCCATCTTATTCAGGATAAGTATCAAAAACTTTCGAAAAATTTCAGCATACTTCATGTTTAAGTTAAGCTGCTTGAATTAGTTTCAAATTTTGCTTTTAAAAAAGATGCCAATGTTAATTTATTAAATTACTGTTTTAATAAATAAAAGAACAAAACCTGAGAAATAAAATTAGTGAAGTAAATTTAAATTAGATTGTAAGGGAAGCAAATATCAGTACATTCACCATATTAAAACTTGGAAATGTATTTGTGCTATGGCTAGAGCCTGATTTTGAATAATAAGGGGGAAGTACAAATGTATTTTCCCCATAGTTAGATTTGTATTCTCATTGTTAACTGAATTCACACATCTAGAACACATCACAAAACTGAAAAATATTTAAAATAAAATCTTACAAAAATAAAAATATCTTTTTCTCCATACTTTTACTGTTAATAGACATTGCTGTTCTCTCTACTGCACAGTTTTTGTTCATGTTTGCTATTTGAAGCATTATCTTATATTCGCCTAGACAACAGCCGGTTTTCTGCTATGTTTCTGCAGAATTCTGAAGTCTTTACTCATGAAGGTGTTACATTTTAACCCTAGAATTGAAGGAGTTAGTTTTGTACCTAAAACTGCTTGATGGTCATTTTGAATTTGCAGTACATTTTCTTTCTATGATAAAAAATTTTCAAAGACTGTTGTATGTATGTAAGGAAGAAACTTGAATATACAGTAATAAATCTTTAAGTACTTTCATAATTTTAAAACTCTCAAAAATATTTAAACTGTAACAGATATATGCTTGCATAATTTTCATGAATATAAGAATTTCAAACTTAATTGGTATATTAATTATTATTTGAAAGTATAGTTAATTATTTTAAACATCTTATTAAAGCTTTTAAAATAAAATGCAAATCCCCCTGGAAAGAACACTGTTATGTATTAAAGAAAGGAAGAGATCTCCTTAAAGACCTTATTTGTTAGAATATCTATCACATAAAAGTTTTTCAAGTATTTTTGCTTTATTAAGAAAATTTTACAGTAACAGCTACTTATTGTATGGATAAATTCTTTCGAGAATTAAAACTGTTTTCATATTTGGAAGCTGGTTTCATGAATTTAAAATGTTATCTAATGCTTTATGAACCAGCTACCTGGTTCCAAGTAGTTCATAAACTAATTATATTTTCTTTAATGATTTATACACAGACATATATATATACCGCTTTTCGGTTTTGTGTTGGAACATTATCTCTTTTCATTGTCTTTCTGCTTTTACAGTTGAAAAAGAAATCATTATTTGCTATTCGGAAATCCTGATTTTTTTTTCTTTGTTATACATATTATTTATAATAATATTTCTTTTTCTAAACATCAGTAGAATGGTCAAACTCACCCAGAGCTCTTAGATGTATTTAAATGTCAAACTGAAGCATTAGATGCAAAGATATGAAACTTCCCAGTAGTCTATTTGACTGCTTCTGCAGTTCTTAGTGTTAAAAACCATTTGTACTTTCTACCGATGTTACATTTTGTCCCATACATTTATATTTAATAATTTTATGAGCATTTTCTTTTTATTAGCAAAATATGCTAAAGTTCTTGTTTTATTATTAATGTTTGTTTACTTGGCAGCTATATGAGGAATTTGCTGTGCCATTCAATCTTCCTGAAAGCCAGTTGGCTATTGTTCATTGTGGTGGACTGTATGATCCTGCTCTCATTGAATCGTTATGGCAGAGTATTATTGAAAAAGGTTGGTATATCAGAATTTATTTCTGAAAATGATGATAAATTAGTAGTTATTTATAGCCATCTAAATTGTATGTTTGAAAGTAATGTGCAAACTGTTAATACACTGTACCAAACATTTGTAATGAATATGCAAAAATAACTTATGTGTCTGAATACTGGAATTAGTATTAATAGGATAAATATGTATCAGTATGAAAACATTTTTTTTTTTTGAATTTATTTTAAATGCTGTTATTTCATTTTTAAAATAGAATAATAGAAAATTCAAAATTAAATAGCAGTATTAAAATTTTATGTTATGCTTTAAAACACTGAAAGGAATTTGCTAAAATACAAAATAAAACATTCATTTTTATTTGACCAAAATGTATATTCTTATTTATGTATTTTTATGTGTGTGTATATATATATAATAATAATAATTTATTTACTAAATAATATTGATTAATTGATTATAACTTGTTTTCGCTCTAAATGAATTTAAAATCATACAACATTATATATATATATTATATATATATAATTTTTTCTTTTTTTAACAGAACTCATAGCCACCATTGGGAACCTCCCAGATACCCGAGTTAAAATATTGCAGCAGAAGTTAGTTAATATTAGCCAAGCCTACATTTCTTCAGAGAAATATTTCCCTTTAGGTAAGGTATTTTTTCAATGTGTGCAAAATACTTTTTATTTGTCAGCTCCAAAATTTCATGCTTGCTTTTAAGAGGAAAAAATGTTTTGTTTCAAATAAATAAAAACTGCTGAACTCCCTCCCATCTCATTGTGTCTGTGTATAGACAGCACAAGCAAGAACCGTTTCTGAGTAAGAATCATTAAGTGACCACCGCTTCATTACCTTTAAACTACATGCAAATATTACTTATACAATTAAACATGGATTCAAGACACAATATGGAGGCTGTCGCCAATTCAAAACAATATTACGAAATCACTCGAAAAGTATCTCATCATGTAATTCTTCTTCTTCAAAAGAGGATGTCAACAGCTCTGTTGAATACTTCATTAATATTATTCAAAACATATGTAACTCATAAAAAATATCAATTTCTAATAAACTTAAATTAAACTAGTGGAATACAAATTTAACTATGGAACAAAATAAAGTAAGAGGCCTCCACAGGAAGTTTAAATCTTTTTTGGATGGTGAAGAAAGAAGTTACTACAAAATTCAATTTCAAAAAGCTAGAGCTCTTTACAAAAGAAATATCAGACAAGCTAAAATCACCAGCTGCGAAAATTTCTACAATAATATTCTAATCTTTATGGATCTGCTTTTAAAATGGCTTATAATAAATTATCTAATCCACCTACATTATCAATGTACAGCTTTTCCTGGCACTAGTTCCTCTGCAGACACCGCTCTGAAAATCATTTCAGAACTATTTCCACAAGATGATGATCCATATCAGTCAAATAGAGAAGATAATGCAATTTATAATTGAGAAAATATTCCAAACTTGGATGAAATAGACTTTATCATAAAAAGACTAAATGATAAAAAGGTTCTAGGTCCAGATGGAATAGACAATATCATCTTAAAACAAACTTTTTACTCTAATAAAATTATCAAATCATTTATTGCGGCATGTTGGAAATTCAATATCTTTCTTTGAATTCTAAAAAAGTGCAGAAATAGTTTTATTTCTCAAAAAGAATAAATCCATGAACAGTCCTTTATCTTTTAGACCAATCTGCCAACTTCCCTCCCTTGGAAAATTACTAGAAAAAATCATATCATATAGTCATGTATCATATAGTCTTACCATTTACATAAAAATAGAATTATCCGTGAAAACCAATTTGAATTCATCCCAAATAATCGATCACACTTTTCAGAAACTCTTAGAGGTTATCCAATTCAATAGAAATCAAAAACGGCACTCAGTAATAATTCCATTGGATATTCAATGTGCTTTCAACTCAGTAAAATGGAAAAATATAATCAACATCCTCAAGTCAATTGACTATCCTCAAGATATTCTAAGATTAATAGAAGACTACCTACATAATAGAAATCTACAATATACTTCAAATAGTGGTATAATAAACTATAAAATTACCAAGGGCTGTCCACAAGGCTCATGCCTGGGACTAACCCTTTGGAACTTTATCACCAATACCATATTATTCTCATATGATCATATTCCTCATACTCATGCACAGGCCTATGCGATGATTTTCTTCTTATAGTCTGCAGCAATAATCAAAAAATAATAGAAGAAAATTCTAATAATTCATTAGTTATCTTCAGGAATTGGGCTGAACAATATTAACTCAAAATTTCAGTAGAAAAGTGCAGAACTCTATATATACCAAAAACAAGATCTTCAGCAAGAAATATAAGAAATCCTATTATAAAATTATCTCAAAATAAAATAAAATTTGAAAAAAAGCTTAACTTATCTTGGCATAGTAATAGACAATCATCTGTCTTGGCATCAACATATCAAATACTTAAAAAACAAAACGCTTGTACTCTTCATTTTACTATACTCCACTTGTTCAAGTACTTGGGGCATCAATCCAATATTCCAAAAAATATGGTACTCTACAGTAATTGAAATATACTTCTTCATGGACCCTGTGTCTGGGGTAATAACTTGAACACCCACGCTCAATGACACAATCCGCTCAAAGACCATTTCTATTATTAATATCGAAAGCATACAAAATTACTCCTACAAATGCACTTCAAATCATCACTGGTATACCACCCATCAATCTTTCAATCAAAAAAGAAACCACAGAAGTATCACAAGCTCATTTAACAATAACCTTTACTCTTCAAATAATTATGAATTCCTAAAATATAATCTGTATATAAACCCTTCTTAATTTTTTACAAAATCTTTAATTGCAACTTCATCAATTTATAATTTCAGTCTTCAAATTTATACTGAGGGATCCAAATCAGATTCAGGCATTGGCAGTGCATACTGTATATTCCAAAATAATAATATATTAAAACAAAGGTATTTTTGTCTTTATCAAAATAATACCGTCTTCCAAACGGAACTTTTTGCAATAGAACAGGGAATAAAGTATGCAAAAGATACCTCATTAACAGGTATCATAATTATTGATAGTGCATCCAGCATCTTTGCAATAATTGGCCATAGCAGATCACCAATAGTACGTCACATACATCAGCTTCTATCTCTGTTTACACTTAATCTCAGACCAAAATTTAAATGGACAAAAGCTTACTTAGGTACAACTGGCAATGAAATGGCAGACCAATTGGCAAAATATGCAGCAAATACTTCATCACTTCCTCAACATTTTCTCCATATTCTCTATCATATTTGAATAACCAACTAAAAGACGATCTCAAAACCCTTTGGAAAGAAAAATAGATCTCTGATATGACAGGCAGACACACTTTTTATTTATTCCAACTCCTTCAAGAAATCTAATATTTACTGAACATGCAATCACAATTCTACTCACAGGTCATGGTTCATTTCCTTTGCATCTGCTTAGATTTGGATTACATTCTTCAAGTCAATGCATTTGTGGACACGATGGAACAATAGACCATTCTCTGTTTCACTGTGAAATTACTAAAGAATTTCATCTTAAACCATATAATTCAAAATTATATGGTTCACTTTGTTTCAACTTTGTTGCTCCAATTTGTTTCAAAAAAAGCAATATACTTCGTAAAAAATTACAGTCACTTATAATTAATCTATCTTTCTATTGTGACAATCTCAGAGCACCATAAATATTTACATAGCATTACTTCCTCCCAGTTGGGAACTTCTGTAAACTAAGGATTCGTCCTTCAAAATTTTGTGTAATATGATATCATCATGCTTTTTCTGAATTTCTTAATAGAGAAAATATAATTATCCAAATTATGTCCTTTCTAATCTTACTGTCTTCATCATTGTACATGTTTATATGTCAATTATCTTGACTTCAATGAATTTCTACTCAAATATTTTTAATTTAAAGTCTTCAATTCAAGGAATGTTCTCATCTTATATTCAAGACCTACTTATATTCTCAAGGACTGTTTACCTTTTGCTTATCTCTACATTTACAGACTCCTCATTTATTTCTAGACTCTCTTCTAGAAACATTTATATGGATTACCATTTAAATTTTCTTTCAAGAAAATCATGATTATTATGAACACTAAAAAATTATAGATACTTTAATGTGGGTCTTGTACCAATTTACTTTATAACCCCATTCTAACATTTTTCAAAATTGAAACTCTAGAAAAAAGACTAAATATTCATTAGCTTCAACGTTTAGACATTTTATACTTGGAATTTGTATATCTGCATATATGGATTACTTTAAAGAATTCATAGACTCTGAGTTCTTGACTCAGACATTATATATTATTCTTTTGTAGACCCCTACTCATCATTATCAAGTGTATATTTTTTAAAGATTTACTTTTTTAACTAGCTTACATTTATACATCTTATTAACTTATTTATGTAACTATTTCAATGCTCTATATTATATTATCGTTCATTATATGTTTTCTATCCTAATATTATTATACATTAGTAAGTATATTATCATCTCATGTATGTTTCTATTCTAATATCTTATTTTATTTTATTATTGTTCCTTAGATGTGTACGTATCTCAGAAATTACCATTCCTTAGTTATTAACTAATACATTATCATTTATTCATTTGATTATAATACATTGTGATCATAACTGTCAGACTTCCTTAATAACTAGCAATGTATAAGCTATTAATACTAATCCCATATTTTCCTAATATTTTAATTATAAGCATTTTCAACTTTTAATTTATGAAGAATTATATTTCTGTGCCTATCAGAATAATCTTCCTGGCACTTGCATATATATATTTAAGGCCATATTTATGAAATATAATAAATAACTTGCGACCTAGTGGTGAATGAAAAAAAGTAATCTCGGAGGCAGTTGAATTGTGGAGTAAATGTATCTGTTAGGCAAACGTACCATCAGGTAATTGAGCGCCATGCAAACAACTTGATGCAACAGACAGTTAGGTAAAACTCAGTTTCTGTGTGTAGTCCACCTTCTTTAAAATGATCAACCATGTTTCTAGATAAATTGGTCTTCCCTAGATGAAGTCATCTTACAAAGGATGATTATTGGGTTTGGCAGTTGTTAATATGTGTGATGAATTTGTCATTTGACCATTCAAGACTCTTGGAGTGTAATAAAGAAAAATACTGGTGTAGAAGTGCAGTATATTACCATATTAGTAATATTATAAAAGTAAAAATATAAATTAATTACAGGGATAAGTAGGAAGCATTGTAGTAAATTTACAGAACTTTGGGAAAATGTTTATTCTTAATTTTCAGAAATTCTGTAAGTGAATATTATTTTTAAATATGAATTACCGATTTTATATGTAAATGGAAAAAGAAAATATTGTGGAAACTTTATGTAATAAAATTTCTTTAGGAAAGTACTGACTGATTAAAATATCCATCCAAGTAAATCTGCCTATTTGATTATATAAAAGGCAATATATCAAAATATATATGTATACATACCCAGGTCCACCACTCCCTACCTGATCAGTTTGACATGTAAATATTAAGTGTTACAATTAAATATCTTATAAAATAGGAATAAATTATCTTCTTATTATCCACCATCTATGTGGTACATTTTTGCTTATTTTAAACATGTTTTTTGGTAAACCACCAGCAACATCTTCAATAACTTTTTATCATATTTCTAAATTCTGTTGTCTTACTATTATACACCATCTACGTGATACACGTATGCTTATTTTAAACATGCTTTGTGACTCATCACCAGCAGCATTTTCAATAGTTTTTATCATATTTCTAAATTTATTGCTTTTGTTTTTGTTTTGAATTCATCTTAAGGTGTAATGGTAAAAATATATTTACGGGTGCCCCTTGGCGATTTTTGGGATACATGGATACCAAGTTTCTGCAATTCTTTTTGACTTGTTATTTCGGCTTTGTGTAGCAGCAATTTTTGCCATCCATGTACATATCGACCTATTTCCACTTTAAAAAAACATCAGAGAATTGCACAAACTTGGCATTGCAAATTCCCTTGACTTTGTCCATGTACACACTTAATATAACTCATATAAAGTCAAAGGAGCAGCCAAAAAAAATATATAATCTCAATAAACTGCATTTTAAATCAAACAATGAAATAACATATAAAAGGAAATTCATGTTAGCACTACACAAAGGAAATATCCACTTAACCTTATTTAGAAAATTCCCTGTCTTCGGTCAAACAAAATGCCTTAACAGCATCCAAAAACCTCCTAAAATTATCTAAACTAGAATCTGTGTACTGGCGTTGCCACATAAATTCAGAAAGATAAGAGTCAAAAATATCCTCCTACATTTTGCAATGAGCATTTCCTTCCTACAAACAGGACAATTACAATGACTACTAATTAATGCTCTTTTCCCCTTTCGTTCCAAATCGTACAGAAACTTCAAATTAATCTTACCACATTCAGCCATTTTACCGTCTAAACCGCAAAACAAGCAATGAACTTCCTAACCAACACACACCATAAGCCCTTACAAATCTTGGTAAAGTCACTGAACACTGATAGTTCGGTCTGAGGTTCAAATGCCACGAACGGGCTGGCTGCATGGGTGTTTGCGTGGTTTTCTGCATTTGTAACGTGTATACGAGCCAGTTTCCCTTAGAAAGTCCTCCACTAAGGCATCCCTTTCCTTAGGCAGATAGCCCTAGTATGCTTTGCTGTAATTAAATAAACCAAACCAAATCCTTACAAATCTTTTCCCATCATGCAAATTCACCTCAATCATGCAACCAATTATATCATAATACGGTTTCTATAACATTTAACTACTCAGGTTACCATAAATGAAACAACAACTTTTCGATAATTCAAGGGACACCCTTAAATCTACTCTAGCCGGCATAATCATTTGATTATGACATATAAAATAAAAACATGCATTTGCCTATATTGAATTGTGAACTTCATAATTATATGATGGATTTTAATAGCTACAAAAGTAGAATTGAACTACTTTGCTGACATTTGAATATTAACTTGCTTTATTTTACCAGCTACACTGGTAATATACTGTATATTTATGCTTTTCTGTATATTATAGGAAATGAAAGGGTTAGTACAAACAGTTTAGGATTATAAAAGAATGTTCTATGTTACTATCAAACCTATGTCAGAAATTCTACCATACTAAAATAAAGATAAATGTTTCACAAATTGCAAAAATGTTCAAAAATTTTAAAAAAAACATTAAAAATAGATAAATAAAGCTTTTCTGGTAGAGTTAAATTTATTTTAATTTTCCTTTCACATTTTTAAACATTTATTATATTCACATGCCTAATTTAGAACTGGTATTTTAATTGAGATTTAATAAATTGATTTGATTTTTTTTGGTGATGCCAGTCAACTGGTGATCTTTATAGTATTAAATTATTTTAAGAAAAAGTAATTTTGATGATAAAATATATATATGCATGTGCTAACACTAAATAAAATTATACTTTTAAACATCAACATATCAGAGCAGTAATACTGCTGTGTACCTTGAATTGCTTCATTTTTTATCATTGTTTTGCATAAGATAATGTAATTTTGAAATATGTTCGCATGCATAAAGTAATTCTTATTTCATGCTAATTTGTGGTAAAGTTTTTAATATATCCAGTCACAGTGTTAAAAAAAGTAAAATGAAAGACTCAAGTATTCTTAGTTGGTTCTTTTAGACCTTCTTTGCATAAATAAATACTCTGAATATAATGCTTATAATTCTCTTAATTTATTTCATGATATGCTAACTTTTTACTACGTATCATTACATTTTAATTACCTAACTTGTTTCCATATTAATCAAAACGTAATTTAATAATGCTAATATATATATATATATATATATATATATATATATATATATATATATATTTTTTTTTTTTTTTTTTTTTTCTTTTAGCTTTTATCATTAAGTTCTTGGAGTTTAAAACATGTACTCTGAATTTTGACCCAGCTTGGGTTTTTGAAGCCATGCTTTGTGTAGGTGTGTCCATAGTTGAACTTCTCAAAATTTACCATAAACTTTATTGTGCTAAAGATTCTTGCTGGACTACTTGTGGCAAGCCTCTGCATTTGCTATTTGTTTTAGTGTTACTTATCGGACACTTTGCTGATTCACCATCAATTGTGCCACTAAATGAAAGGTATGTCTAATTCCAAAAGATAATTTTATTAATTCTGTTAAGTAACATTAATAAAATTATCTATTATTTTTATAACTTATTAAAGGTTCAATTTTTCATGTCTTAATTGATTGAATAATTATTTATGCTTTTCTGTATATTTTTTAAATGCACTAATATTAAGAATTCATGAAACATTATAGCTATACTGTTATTAAAAAAATCCAAACTCTGAAAAATTATTATTAACATATTGCTTCTTTAAATAGTCTAAAATATGCATTAAATATATAGTATATTGCCAAGAGAGAAAAGAAACATGCCAAAATAAAACTAGAATTAGGCAAACAAGCAACTTTATGTTTGATGTAGATTTAATTGAAACTTACTGAAACTAAAACTTGAATTTGAATTAAATCTATGCAAAGCATAAGGTTATTCTTTTGCCTGATTATAGTGTATTATATTATTCTTCCCTGCAGTTACTAAAAATATCGTCCATTTATGTTTAAATCTTTTATTCCCAAATGGCTGATTTTCTGTGCTTACTAATCCATTAGACAAAATTAGAAAGAAAGTATGGTATCGTTATTTATTAAGTACCTGTTAATTGCTGTGTATTTTTCTAAGGCTAGTTTCTCATACTTAAGTTTTTTTTCCATAGTAAATGTATTTTTAATAGTTTTTAGACTTCACATTATATCAGTTTCATTATTTTTGTTTAGGAGGTCATTCACTACATTTTGCTTAGATGTGATATCTGGATACCTTGTTGATCTGCAAGCAATGGACTCTTCCAATCCTAATGTTCCTACTCTTATGAAAAATTTCAGATCAGTTCAACGGAAGCTTGAGAGACTGCCTTGACACATTATTACATAATGAAAATAAATGTTTATACTGTAATGAAATTCCAAATGGCACTTTTGAAGAATTTGTTGGTTGTCTCTTCTGAACATTTGTTTTATATAAAAAATGAGGAATTATGGTTAATAAACATATGTTTGCTGCTGTAAAGTAAAATTTTACATGGAAATTTAATTCTCTTTTCTTTTAATTTATTGCCATCAGAAATTTGATCAGGTTGATCGAGATCAGTATTTTACCTTTTAAGAGTTAAAATATGATTTTATCTTAGTTTTAATTTTTTTCATTCCCCTATAACTGAGTTCAATATTTTAGACTTTTCCCTCTAGTATACTTTCTGTGAATGTAAAATCCAATGTTGTTAGCTTTTTTTTTTTTTTTTTTTTTTTTTTTTTTGAAAAAAATAATATATATTTTCAAAGAATATTAGTAATCTCTTATCTGAAGTAATTAAAGATAAGTAAGAATGTGCAATCTGAAAATAATTTTGTGATTAAAAGAAAATTGTCTCTCTTTTCTCAATAATTTCCTTTAAAGTTAGCACTCATTTTAATTAAAAGCCTAAAAACTAACCTTTTTTATTTGGATAACTTGTTAACTTAAATGCATTTTGTAATGCATAAATATTTGTCTTATTTTGCTGTAATTTTTATCCATTAATATTTGTAAATGCTTATTGTAATAATCATTTTCATATCAAGACCTGTATAAATACTAACTGATATAAATGAAATTTCATACCAGTACTTCACATTTTAATCAACAGTAGTTCATATTTGTTTCTGATGTAGTCTTATAATTTATGGAAGGTCAGGCTAAATGATCATGTAATGATCTTCAATTTAAAAATAATTGATATTGTATCTTTTGGATGTGCATAATTTTTTATATGTTGCATTCTTTTGTACTTCTTTGTGCTGAACCTAACAAATAAAATCTTCTTACATTTTTGTAATACACTTCTGTTTTCTGAGATTTTTAATTAAGCTTAATTTTTAAAAAAAGGGGACAAAATTTAATTATAAACATGTTGTGAAGCAACAAGTTGAAAGCATTTTTGGGAAAAGATACTTTTGTTAATGGCAGGCAAATTTTTAAGACTGAAAATGTTAATTAATTACTCAAAACAGTAATTTAAAAAGGGAAATATTCAGTTATATAGTTAATGCTTAAAATTTTTATTCCTAATTAGTTTATAAATTTTGTTTGAAAAGTGTCTCTTTATGTTGACATTTCAAGTATTAGTTTTATCTATATATTTTTTCATTAGATTAAAATGATTATTGATAGATTCAAGAGATTGATGTTGTGACTAATACTTTCTGAATTAAAACCTACTGCAACAGTAATTTCTAAATTTCTTTAGTAATTTCTAAAGATTGGATATTATGAGGCTTTCAGTGTCTTATTTTGGAATGTAAATGTTATGTTATCGCCCTGTGTTATATTTAAAGAAATTAAATATTGAAAAATCTGCATAAATGTTTCTCACATTGTGATAAAACAACCTAGAGCCATCAAATTTTGAATAACGTACGTTTCCAACCTAATATGGGCATCTGGAAGCCCAGACTTGGAATTTGGAATTTTTTTTATTATCTGTTTCATATTTTGTAAAACTTGAACGAATTTTTGATTAACAAATTCAAAGATTTCAAAGCGAGCAACGACAACACAGTACAAGGGGGGGAAACATTTTTATATGCAGAGCGCAAAACTGTGTATCGGAAATTTAAAGTTATGCTCATTGTTAAGTTAGAATACAGTGCCACCTATTGGATAAGGAGAGAAACTCTCACTTGGCCATCTGGATTCGGCTAAGCAACATGCCACAGCATGTATTAGAACTGAATTTAGTTAATTACTGTCAATAAATTAGTTAGTTCTTTTGCTATACAGTCCACTCATTAGTTTAGAAACATGGTACACTCATTTTAAAATTATTTCGTGATATTGCTGTTGAACTGAATTTTATGGTTTAAGTGTAAAGAACATGATATTTATTTGATAAAGAAAGATAACACACAAAACGTTTAAAAAAAATGCCCCTTTGGGCATAATGTAAAATCTGAAAGCTTTTTTAATTTTTTACTTGTTAATTTGAACAGTTAATTCTGTTGCGGTTTGAATGTTCTTATGTAGTGGTTCTTTTTTTAATCAAGTCTTTTTTCCAACCCTGTGGGTTTTTGCCATTTTTCTGCATATATTACGGAAACGGCGTACAAAACATCAGTAAATTTATTTAAAGATGGGGGGGGGTCCAAAAGGGTCTCCCCCTGTGATAAATTCAATATACACACATATATATACATATATAAAACCCCTCAAAAAGACTTTACATTTTTCCTGAAAAGGGTAAGTGAAAAAAACTTTTCTTGTATGCTTCGTTTTAAAGTTGCTTATTCTTAATATTTTGTACTTTGTTTTAACTCAATCCTAGAAGATTGGAAAGGCTGAGGTTTGCAATTCAATATGCGTTAAAAAGACAGTTAGTGTTCAAACGTAAAATAAATAAATATGCATAATTACTGTTATTTGAAGAAAATAGTAGTTTTTTTTTTTTTTTTGTTTTTGTTTTTGTTTTGTTTTGTTTGTTTGTTTCTAAATATTATTATATAAATTTCTATATATATCAAGATTAAAATACATAAAAATGGGGAATTTCATCAAGAAAAATAAATCTTTGTGGAAAAGGAAAGTAAAATTATTAAACTGCTAGAACATTTTAATAAATGTAATAAAATGTACTGTCTTTTCATATGAGTATTTATTTTTAGTGCAAGGATTTATAACCATAAATATTCTAACAGAGAAATTTTAGTTTTATCCTGAAAGTTTCGACTTTTGGAAATATAGCTTACTAATTACTACTAGCCGCCTGAGTAAAAATAAAATTATTTAAGACACAGGTCGAAAGGACACGTGATATTTTCCCTGAATTAACCCATCCTCAGAAAAGGAAATATATTCATGATTTAAAATCACGTGAGAACTTCAAGTTTATGTTTTGTGAAGTACGCATCGCAGAGTGCATGTTTGGAAGTTCGTTTCTAAATATAGAGTGAACTTGCACTATTGCGATCTGCTAGTTTACGAACTATACATATCTTTACAAATTATTGCTTAGATCTCAAAAGGATTGTGATTTTTAATGCCAATCATTATTTACAAATTTCCTGTCTTACGAATTGTTTTTCGATTTATAGGAATTTCTTAAATTGAAAATCTACAGGACTTAAATTTATTTGATCGTGTTGCTTTTATATGATTATATTTTCAAGTACTACCTAATAAATATCTAGTTTTTGTTAGTAATATTGTTGCATAAATGTTGATTTACATTATGCTGATTTGTATGTATAAGGGATTTTCCATAACAATTGGGGAGGGGAACTCAGTTCATTCGTTTTTGAAAAGTGAATGCGAAGAAAGAAAATCTCACAGGAACTCTTGTAGGAAGCATGTAATTTTTATTTAACATCAGTCTTGATATGCAAAAATTAACAATTCTTGAGTTTGGATATTACCTAAAGAACCTGGCAAATCAGAGAAAATGTTTAGTTGTCAAAATTGCTTTGTAAAATAGCAGATGAAAAATTACTAACACATATTTCACAATAAATTTGAGATAAGGACTAATGAGGGATATTTACTGTAGTAAAGTATACAAAGCACACATTTCAGATATTTAAAATCATATAATAGTTGTTGGCAACTTATATTTCAACATTGAAAGAATTCAAAAAGACTGGAACAGTAAATGCAAAGACCAAGAAAATTGACATATACGGCGTATGCAATGAAATAACTCATTACAAGTAGAAGTGGTCAACAATTGGATCAGAATGCTTCGCTAATTGAAATGAGTGTGTTCTTTTTTATCACTCACCACTCATTCACTTTTTCACATTGATGAAAAAGATCCGGATTGTCTGTTGAATGAAGAGCGATTAGAAAGGATGGAGCTAACAGCGAAAAGAATCGGAGAATGATTCAACCAAATCCTAACTCTATGAGCTAACCCTCATCTGTAGTCCCTAAAACTTCGTTTCTACACAAAATTAACAACAAAAATCATGATTTTTTTTTTTTTTTTTTTTAAGTTGGAAAATGATAAAAATTAAACTCACTTTTAACATAGGCGAATCCCATAAAACGCGAATAGAACTTAAAGGGTAGATAATTAATTCTATACTATGCTTAATTATGAAATAAATCGAATCTTAGGAAAAAAGTCGAGTCCATAATGAAACCTAAGCACATTATTATGTGAAAGTTGGGGAGGGGGACGAAATTGTTTCAGTTTATGTCCTTATAAAAATGGCAGAAAGTCTATAGATTGCAATAGATAAATGTTTATAGATTGTAAAAACAAAAATTTAATTTCATTAAAAAAATTATTCCACGCTATTTATGTCAGTGAACTTGAATAAAATTATAGTTAAGGAGTTTAATGATTTTTAACATTATAGTTTTCGTTATAAAATGCCACTTATTTGTTTAAAATAATATATAAAATTTTGTATGCAAAATTAAGAAAAAGCCGTTTTTATTCAAATAAAGAAACATTGTATTTACTGCTAGGGTTTTTTTTTTTTTTTTTTTTTTTTTTTTTTTTTTTTTTTTGTGTGTGTGTGTGTGTGTGTGTGTGTGTTTTAAGCTCGGGAGAAGTTAGCTATGTTTGTTCTGTATCAATTGTTGACATGTTATTAAAAAAGCAATTTCGGATTTTGCTGCTGTGTTTCAGAATAGTAGAATATGATTTTAATGGCTGAACTGTTAATATGAGATGGTATGGATAATGTTCGAAAAACAGCCTTGGTGATGACGTTTCCAGAAGTATCAAAAAGTTTCGAGGCTATTTATGTTAAACGCCAATCGACGAAGGCAGAAGACCGCACGTACAGTTACAGGAAGACCGGTCTTCATTAGTCAGTTTGCCGAGCAGTTCATACTATTATGACTATGTGCAGTACTAATTTTGCGATTCCAACGCGAATAGCAAGCTTGAACAATAAGTGAATGTGAAATCTTGTCTGAAACTCGACAAATCTGCCCGGAGACGCTGCACTGATGCAGCAAATCTATGATGGCGATGCTGTCATGAGTTGTGAGAGATGTTTTGAGTGTCACGTGCGCTTCAAGAGTGGAAGAAGACGAAAAATCAGTAAGACCTTTAACAAACTCAACACTGAAAATTGTCGATGATAATGTCTACTGCCATCATTCTTTCCTCGCATGTGAGTTTCTCGAAAGACACAAAATGATCTCATTTTGCCACGTACACGTCATACTGTTTACTGCGTGTTTTTTTTTTTTTTTTTTTTTTTTTTTTTTTTTTTTTTTTTATGCGGTTAAAAAATTAGCTCTAAGTTTGCCGTTTGACACCATTGCAGAGATACAGTGTGAACTGCATAAGGTACTTGCCGCGCTTCGAGGTGTCGACTTGCTGAACATATTCCGGAAGTGGCAAGGAAATTGAGAGGATATAATAATATCAACATCAACTATGCCAGTGTCAGCTTTTATCAGCACTAAGAATAATAAGTAGTAAACTCATATAATTGATTAACTGATTAGACATACTACAATGCATTAATGATGCGAAGAAAGGGACCGGAAATTATGAAAATACCACTGTTCCTGATGATCTTGCCAAAAACACAAATCTAAGGACATTCACCACATCAACTACCTTATACCTTGCGTTTTCGCATTAAAGTGGAACGATACAAGGGATGGCGCGGATTTACGCAGTGTTTCCGCTGCCAATCCTTTTCCCATGCTCAGAACCAATGCGGGCACGCACCCCGTTGTGTGAAATGTTGATCAGATCACGAATCAAAGGACTGCGCAAAACTCCCCGCTGCTGCCACTGCGGATTGGCACACACAGCTAGCTTCAGAGGTTGTTCATTCTTCCTGACACAACGCTCCTCGACCGTTCAACCGAGTGATAA